GTTTCCTTCAAGACCACTCTGAATGTTGTAGCCTCTAATGTATGGAAACTAATGGACAAGACAATTTTTCATGCTTTCATTTCTTTGCTTATCTGTTAAAACTCAATATTTTAGCTAAACTATACATTAATGGCCCAATGCATTTCATCCTCGGGATGCTGTGACATTGAGACTCTACCCTTGGTTTTAGTGGAAGGCCTCATTTTCTATTCCTGGAGCTCATAGCATTCTATTTGACATTTGATGCCCAGGAGATTTTTATAGAATCTAGGTTATAAGATTGAGTCTCTTGCCACACATTTTTGAATAGAGATCTGTGTTCCTTTTCCCAGAGGTGTTCTGCATTATACCTTTCTGTGAAATGGCTTTTGATTATTTAAAAAGAAGCATCCGGTGATTGAAATTTCCTCCCCACCACCCCCCAAAAAAAGCCTTTTGCAAAATAATTACCATTGACTGGAGAGCTTTTTATTTGTTTTAAAGAGAATTTGTTCAGAGAAAAGAAAGCAGTAATGATCCCCACTAATACCTGTAACTCAAAGTGAGAAACTATGTTAATGTCACAGTGATAAAGTGAAAAAATGTTTCCTACTGGAAACTTCAGTGAAAGTGGAAGGTTCTTTGTATTTTTGAAAAGATTACTGAGTAAATGTGCTTAAAACGAATAGGACATATGACTCAATATGAAGGCTTTAGTTCACAGGCAGTAAAAGTTGCCTTTCTAATCACCCTGATAAAGACATGCATTTAGCTATTTAATCTCCTAAAATTATATAATTAATTATAATAACATTAAAAATAGACTCATTCACAGTATTCAATATACTTTTTATATATATTTCTTTATTGATTTTAGAGAGGCAGGGAGAGATAGAAATATCTGTGATGAGAGAGAATCATTAATTGGCTGCCTCCTGAACCCTCCCCAGTGGGGAGCGAGCCTTCAACCTGAGTATGTGCCCTTGATCAGAATCAAACCTGGGACCCTTTAATCCACAGGTTGACACTATCCACTGAGCTAAACCAGCTCAGGCTCGTTTACAGTATTTAGTCCTACGGACAGAGGAACATTAATAGTAAGATGTATGGTGTCTTACAAAATGACTTGTCCTAATGTAATTGTTACATGAACTTTATACTTAGCACAAAAGCATAATAGCTTCATGAGATCTGCATTATGTCTATCTATATATACAGGCCAAATTGACTTATTTAACTTGAAATTTGATAAAATTTAGAATTTGCTGTCTCTGGTATAATATAAATGACAAGATAATCAAATATAATAAGTCCACTCTAAAGTATACAAATCTATCAATAGATATATGTGTGTTTTTAATTATGGTTTCTTCCATTGCTTAGTATAGTAACTAACACAGTGCCTGGACTGGTGTGGACATGATTAAGTGCACACAAAATGCTTTTAGGAAGAAAAAAAGTGAATTAATTTTGACTAAAGCCAAGTGATGATCATCCTCGAGTAAACAATTTATAACAATGAAAATAAAATGAACCTTGGACAAATCTTTCCTCATGTGCCACACACTGTGTTAAGAATAACAATAAATATTCTGTATAATATTCACAAAAATATCGTGTGGTACAGAATATTATTTCCCTCAGAAAACAGATTTCATCGAATGACCTCCTCAAATAACACAACTAGTGAGTGTTAAAGCTCACTCTCTCCCACAGCCACTGCACTCCTTCCATCTGTGAACTTGAGGTTGGACTAAGTCTCGGTGCAAAAGCAGTAACCTCTTAGGTATAATATAGATAGTACTTAAATTATTAAATTTAAACTTCATAGCAATAAGGTAAGGGAGTTCTTTTTATAATGAAATAAATACATACATGATTTATATCTTGCTTTTCTAAAAATGCTAGGTAAGATTTTAATCTTTTAAAAAAATTATTAATTTTTTTACAGAGAGAAAGGGAAAGGAATAGAGAGACAGAAACATGGAAGAGAGAGAATCATCGATCAGCTGCCTCCTGCATACCTCCTACTGGGGATGTGCCCGCACCCGCGGTACATGCCCTTGACCGGAATCAAACCTGGGACCCTTCAGTTTGCAGTCTGATGCTCTATCCACTCAGCCAAACCAGTTAGGGCATAATCTTTATCAATTAATTCATTTCCACAATCACTATCATCATCACATAATTTATATCCCCCTAGATACTATGAGATATTATATTTACTGTATAGTTACTCTGATCTAGGCACAGTGTTAATTTATATATCTCTACAGATTTATCTTATTTATTGCTTACTAACTATCAAATGTTGATATTTTTGGCTATTATGGTCCAGGCTTGATATGCCTAATATTTAAAGAATCATCAACATGTGAGACAATATTTTAGGTGCATTTTGAAGCAATTGCATTGCTTTATACAGGACAATATTTCCAAAATTACTGGGAAGTAAAATGTTACCTTTCTATTAGCATATTCCTAAGAAATGATGCTGAGGAAAATGTTTATTATCTTAAATTATATAGCCTGGTTCTGTTAAAGTATATAAGTGAAGAATCAAGCTATTTCTTTTCAGTTTGCCAAATTAAATTTTAATGCATCCATGTAGAGTTGACATTTGAGTTTGGGCATAAAAAAAAGGTGTTTTAAATTGATAGTTCTGTTGAGAAAGCAAAGGAATACAAAATAGTGATGCATCCTACATATCACATTGTTTTTCATATATTACCCATGTTATTGTTTTTTCCCCCAGAATAATTATTTTCCATAAAATTCATTTGTTTACATCCAATTCTTCTTTAGCCTTCAGAATATGTACAACAAATTGGCTAAGAAATCATTATAGTTGGACAATAGTTAATTTTATAGTTGGTTATTGACTGCATATTGACATAATTTGATCATCTAACCAAAATTTTTCATTTTTTGACATTGTTGTCATCAAGAAATGCATGAGATTGTATCTAAAGCTCATCATGCTTTAACCACTTGCTTCACACAGCTTTCCTTCATTGAAGATTAGGGTATTAGACAGGACTTTAAAATCATTCTCCTCAGTTTTCATGTATTATTTTTTTCCCCACTTAAAAAACTGTTCGTCATTTGGTAGTATGGATAGAATTTAAAAAAAAGTTTAAATCATAAGACATTGATTATCTAGAAAGAAAGATTGATTTCCATTTGCTTCTGTTTTGTGGTGGTTGTTATATGTGATATGACATTCCACATCTTACATTGTTCTGAAGTTGGTTTAGTATAGCACAAGTTGTGAAGTTTGTATCATTCTAGCCAGAGACGTTTAATGGTGCATTTGACACTGGAGATATTAAGTATCTTTATTTTAAGCCCCTTTAATTAGAAGTAATTTTAGGCTTCCCCAATTAGGCTTTTATGACAATTTATTAAGTTTAGTTGAAACCAAATTTTGTATTATGAAGATTGAAAATATTTTCTAATTCAGAAATCCCATAGTCAGTTCTGTTTTAATGAACATTGCTGATGGAATTAGAATTCATTTTTAAAGCTTTAAAAGTGACATTTTATAGCAAGATAAAAATTTGTGTCTGTTTAAACCCAAGTGAAATCATATACCTACAATCCAAGTAAGAGTATTTTTTAATCACCACCAATTCCCAAGTCTTATAGATTGTCCATGGACCAAGTAGTGCCACTACCTTTATCTGTGTAAATAAAGAATTAAATGTTTAAATTAAAGGAATGAAATATTCAATTATAAAATTGAATGGGATATTCAGTTATAAAATGGGATATTCAATTATAAAATTCTATGTTTAAAAATTAAAGAAATATGATATTTCTTAAAGTGTATTAATCTAATATATTTTAATCAGAATATTAACTGTGTCTATATAAAGACAATTGTAATGCAATATTTTTCCAATATCTGTTGTCTTTATTAGGTTGCATAAAGAACACTTAAAAATTCTCTCATCATAGCCAAAACCGTTTTGGCTCAGTGGATAGAGCGTCGGCCTGTGGATTGAAAGGTCCTGGGTTCGATTCTGGTCAAGGGCATGTACCTTGGTTGCCGGCACATCCCCAGTAGGGGGTGTGCAAGAGGCAGATGATTGATTCTCTCTCATCAATGTTTCTAACTCTCTATCCCTCTCTCTTCCTCTCTGTAAAAAAATCAATAAAATATATATTTAAAAAATTCTCTAATCATGCTTTGAAAAGAGAATAATATAGGCAGTAGATACTCCTTTGGTAGGCTCAACAAATGCAAGTATGATTTGTCAACATAACTGACTGTGTCCAAGCAATTGGTAAAGATTTATTAAGTAATCAGGTTATGTTAGAATAAAAATATCTATGCAAATAGTAGTCTTCTAATTTTTTCGTTTTATGAGCAAACCTGGCAGGTAGTATATATTGGTGTATATTTCCAAAATCCATCTGTAGAAAGTGTTTCTTTCTGAATTAGCGATCAGATTTTATTAGGAGAGGACATTAAGTTTCAGGGTCTCACTTGTCATCTTGGCTTAAAGGATAACAACAAACTGTGATGTGTAATTTTTATTCTTATTCCTTGCATCATTTCTGCCAAAATCTCTAGTGAAGGTAAAGCCAGGATTTTAAAAAGGCTAGTCCTTAAAAATATAAAAATAAAAAGGCCAGTCCTTGTTTCATAATCTTCTGTGTGCTATATGTTTTAAAATATCTATCAGCTATTTATGTCATAATAATTATAGCCACATATTAACTTGCTAAAATTAATTGATGAAAATAATTTTAAGGTGAGATTTACACAGGTTGAGATTTCCTAAGACTAATGACTTTGGGGAAGGGGGTTGGACATAGAATTTTCAAAACTTTCTTGAAGATTTAGTGAATCTTCTGTGAGGTAGGTGGGCTGCTTTTTGTGAATGTTAGAATGAAGACCAGCTAATTTTCTGGGACCAGGAGAGATGAGGGGGTCAATGGCAAGCCTGATCACCATTGAGCTGCTTTATAATCCCTTCTATTGCCAATATGTCCACCTCTGTCTTGTCTTTCAGTTCTCCACAAGCAGCCCAGAGAAGTGTGTCTCTGTTTGCTAGAGCTGGGCCGGATTGCAGCCAGGTAGGTCAGACTACTGCTACTATGTCAAGACATGAATCATCTCAGCATCCAAGCATGTAAGAAACTTAATGGCTTTTTATTGCTGATGTTGAGCCTGTTGAGAAGCTATTTATTCAAATATGTACCAACATCTCAAGAACAGTCATTCAAACTATTATAAAAGCATGCCACCAATGTTCTTACCATTGTGATCTTGTTGTCAAAGCCATTCATTTAAACTTTATATGACAATTAATTTTTCCTTATTGGAAAGTCTATCCCAATATTTACTCTCCTTAATCTTTCACCTTTCTCTTTCTCTTTACTCTCGACTAACATTCAGCCTCCTCTTTTATTCATTTTTCCTCATTTTTCTCCACTCAATATCTCTTGTCTTAGCTCTTTTAGTTTCTAATTCTGAGGAGGGGAATAGTTTTAAAATTATTCTCCCTATTTTGATTAGGGAAATATATAGAATATTATTATTCTTACATAGAGATATCTTTAGATTCTTTGTCTTCTAGCAAAAAATAAATAAGCAACTATAGAAATCATAATTATGGTAAAAGAGACAGAGGGAGGGACTTTATTAGCTAAGCTGACTTTATGTCATTTTTTTTTAATATCTTGAAAACCATCAAGCAGGGTTTCAGACAGTTCTATGAAGCCCCAAAAATTAGAAATGAAGATTTAAATCTTGAAGAAGTCTTAATGAAAAATTAAAATTAAAAATAAATTAGGGGTAGGGATATCAGGGAGAGATCAACCAAGGACTTGTATGCATGCATATAAGCCTAAACATTGGACACAGACAACAGGGGGTGAGGACATGAGTGGAGGGTTGGGGGGGGGCGGTAATGGGGGATAAGGACATATATGTAACACCTTAATCAATAAAGAAATTTTTAAAAAAAATAATAAATTAGATGTTTTCTCTTCTAGATATGGGTATACTTTTAGAGCTGAGGTCAGATGAACCAATAAGACCTCAGTAAATTATTTGCTGCCATAAAAATGCTAAATAAAAGAAACATGGGTTGTCTAGGGTTCTTACTTAGGTGAAGGAAACAACTTTTGTGTAGTTGTTTGTTTTGATTATACTGTCAGAATATTCTAAAATGCAGATTATAAATTGTTGCTTTAATATTGTAACTATATAAATCAAATAAGCAACTTGAATCTGAAAGTTGAGATATAGAAATAAGGAGAAAAAGTTGCAATATCTACAGAGATAGTTGGGGATTGTCATTTTATTCTTGTTTAGGTTCTATTATTTGCCTGTTTTCTGGATTTATTTATTTTTGTAAATATACTTTTTGTTACCTGAACACTTTGATTAGGAGACCTGCTGAAATGAATATTTTAACTATGATCAAATCATTAAAGAACACATATTACCCAATGACAAAATCCCTTTAAAAATCACCTTTCCTCCTGCTCTGTATCTGACATAAATTGCCCCTTGCCATAGAATATGGCAAATCTCGGTTATTAAAAAGGAATCATGATGGTCTGTTCAGTTTCAAGGTAAAGCATATTTGAAGACTTTTAGATTTTCCTTTTCTCCCCAACTATTTTAAAATTGAGATTCTGTATTGCTTAAAAAAAAACAAAAACCTGTATTGAGATATGATTGACCTACAAAAAACTGTACATATTTAATGTATACAACTTGATGAGTTTGGGGATTACTATATATATATGAAACTAGAACCATAATCTGTGCCCTAAAGATATCCATTACCTCCAAAACTTTCCTCCTGCTATCTATGATTGTTATTAATATTATTATTTATGACAAAAATGGGTGTCTCCGTTTCTCTCTATACTTATGATTATGCAAGAAGACAAAAACAGTATTTATTCATGCTGCAAAGAAATTATTATTAATCTTATAAAGGAGTTATCTAAGGAGTAAGATTACCCTTACATTATAATACTTTACTTGTAAATTTTGCTTTTTATCTTCTTCACCTACTTGAGTGGTGTGAAGTATTACACACTTTCACTGGAAAAGAGGAAATATGCCAAGAGATTGTTCAGGGTGTTACATTTTGTGTGTTGCATAAGGTTAAACAGTTAAAAATGAATTGGGTAGATGGAATATTTAAGTGTCAGTGTCTATTGAAGATTCTCTCAGTACACATTTGAAGATTTCTGTTTTTATGGAAGTTTAATTGTGCTTTATAGACAATGGCAAACTAAGCGACCCAAACCCCATTTCTTAGCTCTATGTTGAAGCATATTAGTTAAAGAGAAAAAAGGAAAATAAATCTCCCAATCTCATTTTACTCCTACATTATATATATATATATATATATATATATATATATATATATATATATATATGACCTTTATTTACACCCTTACTTTGTGCTTCTTTCTCCTTCAACTCCTCCATGGAGGATTACATAAATTATTAAGGTCAGATAGTTTTAGCCAAAACTAAAAGTGATTTTGGAAGAGCTCTCAAGAATCACAACATTCATTTGTATACAAGACATATGAATTTTGAACATAACAAAGTTCCCAATGCAATCTGGTAAGTTTTTATTTTATTACTGGTAGGTGACACTTTTTTATATTTGATTCTAAACATTTCCTTCTCAAGTTACATAAATGTCATCTTAAAAGCATCAACATCTCTTGGCATATGATTTGCAAAATGCTTCTGGTTTTCTGCTGTGTGGGATCATTCAGGGAAGCTCCTTGGAGAGCTGTGGGTTTCTCAGAGCTCTGAGATGGGAGGATGAGACCACTTACTTTTGTTCTCATGGGTATAACTTCCTTTTATTTTCAATCAAATAGAGTTACCATCACTGGAGAGTAAAATCCCTCCATTAATGTTTCAGAAACCATATCAGTTTCTGGGTGTAAAATATGCATGCTTGCTTTCTGAAAAAGAAAACAATCAGCAAAGGGAGGTCAATAAAACCTCACAGATCTTTTTAATGACAGTATTTTGATATTTGTTCCTTAAAAAAAAGTTACTGTGAATATAACCTTTTTCTACAGACTGCAGAATTAACATAAGCTTTACAATAATAGTAAAAATCAGCTTTACAAAAGCACATGATATTTTGGTTTGGGACCATAATCAATCATCAACCTCATAATGGAGCTTTTTATATTTTTGAGAATTTCCTTGATTTTGAACATTTATGACCACTGAAAAGAAATATACCTTATTTATTTTATTTTTAAATATTTATTGTTGAAAATATTACATATGTCCCTTTTTGTTCCCCATTGACTCTTTATAGCTTACACCCACCCTCTGCCCCAGGCCTTCACCACCCTACTGTCAGTGTCCATGGGTTATGCATATGTGAATATAAGTTCTTTGGTTAATCTCTTCCCACTTGCCCACCAATCTCACTTTCCCTCTGAGATTTGACATTCTGTTCCATGCTTCTATGAAAAAAAAAACAAAAAACTTTAAAATATATTTGTCTTCTATTTCAATCTATGGCCAATCAAAATATTTCTTAAAATAAAAATATTATTTTATAAGACATTAATTAATTCATCCTATTTAAAGCACTTCTCTCTGACTACTAAGAATATCATGTTTTCACATGGGTGAAATTTCCTTTCAAATCTAACTCTGTCTTTAAATTCCTTTAAGACAGAATAAAAATGGGGCAAAAACTATCAGGAATCTGTAAACTGTAATAAGCTTTCAAAAGAGGCTATCGCCAGTTTGTTCAGGGGTTAGAGCATCCCTCTGTGAACTGAAGGGTCCCAAGTTCATGTGGTCAAGGGCACATGCTGAGTTGTAGGCTCTATTCCCAATGGGGGGCAAGCAGGAGGCAGCCAATCAATGATTCTTATCATTGATGTTTCTGTCTCTTTCTCTCCCTTTTTATCTGAAATCAATAAAAATATTTTTAAAAAGGGTATGGGAGGTTTTAAAATTTGTCCCTCTAATTCTAGTAAAATTGGCCCACGTGTCTTTTGTTTGAAAACTACAGTCTAGTAAATAGTTTGAGTAAATGTTCTCATCCAGGTCTCAGACAGTGTTTCCCAAAATGTGGTATGCGTACCCCCAGGGATACGGGAAGAGTTTGGTGGGGATATGCACTGCACAGTGCTTAGCTGTGCCTAATTCTATGTTCTCATGAGTATGAGGGGTACTCAGCATTACGAAAATTATAGAAGGGGTACACATATGTCAAAAGTTTGGGAAACACTGATCTAGAATAATCTCAAAAGTTGTGCCACATGCCAGAAAAAGGAAGTCAATGTATAAAATCTCACCATGAAGTGATCAACCATAAGACCCTTCCCTAGCACTTTGTAATATTCTTTAATGGGGCAAAAAATGCATTGGCCTTTTAATATTCATCCTACTTTCTTATCCCTGAGATATACAGATGTGAGGATTTGGTTTTAGGGCAGTGATTCTCAACCTTCTTATCACCACGACCCTTTAATACAGGTCCTCCTGTTGTGGTGACCCCCAACCATTAAATTATTTTCGTTGCTCCTTCATAACTGTAATTTTGCTACTGTTAATTAATCATAATGACCCACAGGTTGAGAACCGCTGCTGTGGAGCCTAAGACCATCAAAAAAGATATTTACATTACGATTCATTAACAGTAGCAAAATTACAGTTATGAAGTAGCAATGAAAATAATTTTATGGTTGGGGGTCACCACAACATGAGGAACTGTATTAAAGGGTCGCGGCCTTAGGAAGGCTGAGAACCACTGTTTTAGGGACTCACCATTCTGATTTTAGTTAGACCCTGGGAGCTGCAGCAGCCTCCTCACCCCAAAAGCTCTAAGATCTTGTCCTTAGAAAGGAGCATAAACCAGTATAAACTTGTGAAGACCTCATAGACAAAAATAGAAACGTGAAGCGGTATAGAGTTAATCATGGAAACCATAACGAAGTGGCCTTTTGGAGTGCAGAAAAAAAAGACTTATTTGTTGTCTAAGTTGGCTTGCAGGTGTGGGCCCCCAACCTAAGGGGAATTTCATGATTTACAGCCTGCTGACATCTCCAGGCAGACAGGAAGCCAGTGGATCGTATTTAAGTGTGCATTTCTGGACTGGCTGGCTGTACTGGAGGCAGCCTGAGGTAGCCAAAAGCCAACATAAGCAGAGATTTGGGGCTTAGTGCTGGTTTTTCTGTGTTCAGCAGTGTAGCTAATTTGCAGCTTTCCCGGATCGAGACAGCTAGCTCTCCAGGGCAAGGTTCTGCGTGTGACTGTGACCAACTTCATTCAAACTAAGTCCACTTCGTATCAGATGCAGAGTGGAACCTCCTGTCACTCTCATAAGTTATTATTTTATTTTGTGGGGGAAAAAAGAAAAAGTTAGGCAACCTATTCCTGAAAGGTGGCATGAGTCCACCTACAATTACAAATGAAATCATATTTTCCAATTGGCCTGCCTTCTACTTTCACATGTGAGGTTTTTCACTCAGTACTTTTAATTGTCTGTGACTCCTAGTGTTTTAAATTTCTCTACGTTCACTGCCCAGTTTATGTTATTCTCCAAAGAACATTAAACATAATTTTTTATACCTTGATGGAACCAGGAATCCAAAGAAACCTAGGGAGATGAAGAATGGGTTGCCTGCTAAAGGTCATGTAGCCAGCTAGGAGCAAGGCTGAATTTATAACTTGGTCTGCTCCACCCCAGCACTGAGATATTTCGCTGTTCACAATTATAGCAAAATCAATGTAAAGAAAGCCTATAGTAAGATTTTTTGTTTGTTTGTTTGTTTGTTTTGTATAGGATACAAACCTTAGTAATATAAATAATCTTTAAAAAATATTTCTTTATTGATTTTAGAGAGGAAGGGAGAGAGAGATATAGAAACATCAACGATAAGAAAGACTCATTGATTGGCTGCCTCCTGCATGCCCCCTACTGGGGATCAAGCTTGCATCCCAGGCATGTGGCCTTGTCCAGAATTGAACTCTTCAGTTTACAGGTCTATGCTCTATCCACTAAGCTCAACAATATTGACTGTTCAGCTGGCTAGAGCAATATAAACAATCTTAATAATACTATTTCACATATTAATTATGATGCCGTTATGTTATTTAATTTAATGGTATAATAGACTTTAAAAGTAAAAACTGGCAAAAGTACATTAGTGCTGCAGTTTTTTGAAACTTCAATTAACAGCAATCTCAGAGGTTCTGATGTGTCAGAAGCTGGGCTACCAGTGTAATGGATACTGTTTTATTTCGTCCTAATAATATGCAAAAACATGGATTAGAATGTCCATTTTATATTAAAATAAATGTGAGGCTCAGTAATAATGTATGTGACAGACACATGCCCATGTTCCATAGCAGTTGCTTTTCCCACATTGTCCCTCCCTCCCTGCACTGCTACATCAGACCTCTAGGGCAGGCCATTCTCATCTCTGCTTTCCTGGTAGAAAGCAGACTCCTAGAGGTTAAGTGATCTGCTACATTTAAAGAGGAGGCTCATGACACAGTTAGCTCAAGTCTACCTTAGGGAATAATGATGCACAAATCTCCATATGAGTATTGTTGGTACTTACTAATGGGAATGAAATGCTAGGTTGAGTTCAGTATAATTAATAATCATTACTAAGTTTTTTTTTTTTTTTAAAGTGTTCTCATTTTGGACAGGGGTTAAAGTCACCTAGAACATTTTTTTTTGTAAAGCATTTATGTATGTTTAATATTGGCATGCTTTACTAAAGTGATATGCATTTAAAGACCCCAAAACAATGAAACCAAATACATAATTGAAACTCCAAGTTATCATTATATGAGAATACAGGATTTTTTTTAATAGTATTAAGTACCTACTATTTTTCAGGATCCATGCTATCTGCTGGTGATGCTATGAATCAGAGTGGTTTCTGCTGTTAGAGAGTTTGCACATGTCTTAACTCATGGCCCAGTATGTGGCTAATATGATTAAAAGGTTAAAAGTGGTGGCTAGGTCCTTTAGCCAATAACTAAAAATTACTCCACCCATAGAGGCAGTTCTCAAAGCAGCATTTGTTCATTTGAGTTATGCTAGCTTAAACTGTTTTGTACTGAATTCTAATGTTTTCTACCACTCAAAGGGCACCTGACACATACCTCCCATCCTTACCATCTAAATTCTGAAAATATTAGAAAATAAAGGAGTGGCAGATAGAACATCAAACATCATCTTTGTTGCTGATAAGAGCTAACAGACATGTTTATTGTCTGTAACGGAACTGCAGAATTAGGCCAGTTCTTGTAGAGACCCTCCTGTGGGCAGTTTCTTTTCCAGATGAAGAAGGGGAAACTGAGTCAAGCATGCTCAGTTTATTCTTATGCAGCGACCTGCACGGTGGGTTCAGGGTAATCTGTAGGAGGGCCAAAGTACAGTGAAGACCCCATACAAGAAAAATGAATTTTAAAGGCATGGAGGGCCAGGCAGAATCTCCATCGAGAAGAGGAACCATGAGTTTGGGTCCTACCTGCTTTTTATTCAGTGTGGTTACACATGTGCTCCTTAGCAATGCATGCAGGCAGAGCAGATAGAATAAAAGTCAGTAAAGTTGAGTAAACAATATAAAGATGATCAGGTTAGGACAGTGGTTGGCCAACTCATTAGTCAACATTCAAGGTAGAATGATTGAAATTTCTTTTGAGAGCTAAAAACACTTCTGCGCATGGTCCACAAAGTTTCAGTCTCACTGTACATGTGCGCCTGCATGTAGCATTTTGTGGAAGAGCCACTCTCAAGGGGCCAAAGAGCTGGATGTGACCCAGGAGCCATAATTTGCAGACCACTTGGATAGGAAATCACCTCCAGCATCACAGTCACAGAGGGAGCAATCTTGTGCTGATACCAGCCCTGCTGAGATCAAGGTCCATTGACCTTCCAATGTCTCTTTTGCACTTTCATGCTAATGTTGTTATGAGTTAGTCTCAGGCATGCTTAGTCTTACCAATTTGATAAATAATTTTATGTTGTTGGAGAGGAGAGAATAATGAAGTAGAGAGAGACCAGAAATTAAATGAATCAAACACTCTCTACAAGAACAAAACATGAAGAGTGAGGAAATTACTTCCCCTTGGGAATGTTTACTAAACACATGCATGATGTCAGTTAAAATAACAGGCCATTAGGACAGGTTAGTAGTCAGTAATCTAAGCCTTTCCATTTAGTGCTGTTTTAATGTACAACTCACTCCAAGATACTAGATATACCACCAACATAGTTATTCTCTATCTATAGATTATTTACGTGGTAGATTATTCATGACCTATGACTTTTTCCTCTTCTTTCTAACTCACAATCACCTGCTTAATAGCAAGAGAAAATTGGCTTCAGTCCTGCAGTCAGAGAACCTGGCTTTGCATCTTTGTGCAGCTCCTACTTGGTTCTGAACCTTCTCTAGGTCTATGCTCTTAGCTGGACAAGGGAAGTGTGTAATAGGTAGTCCCAGAGGCCCTTCTAAAGCTTAATTTCTGGAGTTTTCTTTGGCCTCCTCCACCTGGGTACAATGGATGTACACCTAAGAAAGAAAATCAATTTTTAGTTTAGCCTGAGAAAAATGTGATTATGGGAGATAAGAATGTTAATAACAACTACATCTATGTTTTAAAAACTTCTATTTTTTACAATGCACAATTTTAACATATTACTCTAGATTGTTTTTCTTCTCTGTTCATTTTCTTTCCTAGTAACACTAGACATGCTTTCATTATATTGTTTTTAAGAGAATAACCTGTATAACACATAGTCCTTTGTTCCTGGGCCCCACAAGATGTGTACAATTAATATAGAGAAATTCTTTTCAATTAAATCATTTTCTGTTAAATCAATTATTTGGGGGGGGGTTGTTGTTTTTAAATGTGGCTATGACTGAATTTATTTCTATCTTTAACAAGCTTGTGTCCAAAATAGGAGTTCAATTATATCACTTATATCATTTCCTAGTAAATATGAAATACTAAATGTTATATGGTTGGTTGTATTATTGACTTATTAATGCATTACATGTAGTATTTTATATAATCATAGTATGCTATTTGTTATGTGTCGATTCATATATGTACACACACACACACACACTCAGCAGATACATTTCCCCCTGATTAAAAGGATGCTATTTAAGAACCATTCTATGCCAGGAAAAGTTGTTTTTAAAAAATTACCAGTTTGCTCCTGTAATCTTCATACTCAAATATAACACACTAGAGGCCTGATGCACAAAAATTTGTGCAAGAGTAGGCCTTCTTTCCCGCAGCTGCTGGCACCAGCTTCCCTCGTGCACCCGGGACACTGGCTGTTTCTCTACTCTGGCTGCCCACAGGCACCTGGGACTCGGGCTGGCTTCCCTCTGGCACCAGCTTCATCAGGAAGGACATCCAGAATGATGTTCAGTCTAATTAGCATATTACCCTCTTATTATTATAGATGGCAAGTGTATCATTGTAAGTTATTCATCTACATTGATCTTGTATCTTTTAAAAGGTATGGTGTGGAGCCTCCTGGTTTGATAAAATTGGAAAAAGAGATTGAACAAGAGGAAACACTTTCTGCCCCTTCTCCTTCACCTTCTCCTTCATCAAAGTCCTCTGGAAAAAAGAGTACAGGAAACTTATTGGATGATGCAGTAAGTAAAACTGGTCAGACTTCTTACTACTTTGTCTTTTTTGAATTTCAAAACTTATTCTGTTTCATTTTATTTTTTAATTTTAATTCTTTATTGTTTAAAGTATTACATGTGTCTCTAATTTCCCTCATGGAACTCTTCCTAGCAATTCCCACCTCCAGAACATGCCCCCACCCCCTACTGTCTGTGTCCATTGGTTATACTTATATGCATGCATACAAATCCTTCCATTGATCTCCTTCCCTCCCCTCTGCCCCCTGCATTCCTTCTGAAGTTAGACCATCTGTTCGATGCTTCTATTCTCTGGATCTATTTTTTCCCCATCAATTTATGTTGCTCATTATATTTCACAAATGAGTAAGACCATGTGATATTTATCTTTCTCTGACTGGCTTATTTTGCTTAGCATAATGTTCTCCAGGTCCATCCATGCTGTTGCAAATGGTAAGAATTCCTTTTTTTTTTTTTTACAGCAGCATAGTATTCCATATTTTAATCCACTCATCTGCTGAAGGCACTTAGGCTGTTTCCAAATATTAGCTATTGTAAATTGTGCTGCTATGAACACAGGGGTGCATATATCCTTTCTGATTGGTGTTACTGATTTCTTGGGATATATTCCTAGAAGTGGGATAACTGGGTCAGATTGTTCTACCCAATCTCTTACCAGTCTAACCTATATCTATTTCAATTTCATTGAAATTTATTTTAAAACCCTTTGAAAAACTCTGTATTTCTACAGTTCGTTTTGAGGTAAAAACTGAACCAGTCATTTAAAATAAAATGTCACTTAATTCTGCTGAATAGTATCTAACAATTTAGGACAATAGATCAGCTCCTTCAAAGTTGACTTTGAAAACACTTAAGGCTGTTGCTATTGGCTTATGACTCCTCATTTCACAGGTAAGAAGCCTGAGGCATGAGATCTGGAGGATTGCTAAAGAGGGAAAGCAAACACCACAGAGAAGATAACTGCTCTTTACAGACTGCCTGCTGAGGCCCAGAGTCTAGCATTGTTTTCTGAGTGCTCTCAGTATCTGTGATGCAGGTTTCTTATGGAGAAAACACAAACAGAAGTTGGGCCACCTCCTGAGGAAAGGAGAGGAGTTCAGATTCCAACCCAATTTTGTCTAACTCTGAGGTCCCCATCCCTCTACTTAGCAGAGTCCTTGAGTCACAGTCTTTGGCAGATTAGCAACTATTATCTTTCTTCCCTCATAATCACAGAAAACATCCGGGATGTCATAGTGGAAGGAATGAATTAAAACTCTCTGGCAAGTTCTGTTGCCTGTTAAGTAGTTCTTGGTGATAAGTAGTGTGTTTGATTGTATATCTTTACCACCCAGAACATGTGTTTTGGGTACAAATGTAAAAAAAAAATGCTTATTTGTTTTATAGAAAATAGTAACATCATTCAGAGCTGCTGGAGTGAAGTATATCTCCAATACTTGGGGAGAGTTCTGGGAAACTAGCAGCAGCCATAGTGCCCATTCTAAGGAGTAGACAGAACTGACAAGGACTGCAGACCCATGGCTGAGGGTTTCCTTCTCCAGGGTCTGAGCTGAAGAGGTTGGGACTGTGGCTGACTGGCACTGCACAGTGCAGAAACACCGTTTCCCATCTTTCGCTTTCCTCCATATGGCATGCTACCTTGCACTGCAGGTTTGGATGAGCAGAAACATAACTTTTACTGACAAATTGAGAATTCCCACTTCTGCTAAGTGCAGCAGACTTAAACTTAGCCTGTTATAGTATCTTAGCTAATAACAGTTTAATTTAGTTTTCTTCTGTTCAGTCCATTCAGGAATTAAAGAATAGGCAAGGACATTTTTTATTCTTACCTGAGGATGGACACACACACACACACACACACACACACACACACACACACATATATATACACATATGTATACCCATATATACACACATACACACATACACATATACACATATATACATATACACATATACACATATACACATATATACATATATACATATACTAATAAAAGGGAAGTATGCTAATTAGACCGGATGTCTTCCGAATGTCCTTCCAAACAAAGCCAAGGTGGCAGTGGCAGGGTTGAGGCAGAGGTGGTTAGGGGCGATCAGGTCAGCAGGGGAGACCAGTTAAAAATAATTCCATGGTTAGGTTGGTTTGAGAAACGCAGCTTACTGTATTTTCTGGGTAGAGTGTGGCAATGCACTGTGGTATATTAAAGGCACTAGTAAGTTCCATAAGATCTTGTTTTATTGGAAATTATTTGTCCATGGAAGTTTCTTATAGTCTCTCCTTCATACTTGGTTGCTGAATTGCCTTGCAATATTTGCATTCTGTTTAAGCGATAGTTTTTCAGCAAGGCATTTTATTCCAGAGACAGTAGAACAGAGAGAAACATAATTTGAGCCTCACTAATGATGTAAACCAGAGATTCGAATGTCAAATATGAAAATTAAATAGATTTTCATATGGCAGTTGCTTCACTGCATGTGAAGCATAGATAGCAGTTGAAAATTAAAATTCATGAACCCCAGTTTGTGTTTTAGAATGGGGGTGTGAAATATAGATTGTTTGCCAAGTTCCTGTGTTCAGTTAAAAATGTTGGCTATTTCTGCTCTGACAAAATTACTATTTGTATCAGAAAATTAAAAAAAGAAGAAAGAGAAGAAAGAGGGGGAATAAAAGAACAAGGAGGGAAAAAAAGAGAAAAGAAAAAGAAAGGGAAGAGTAAGAAAAGCAGACCTGTTTAAGGTATCATATTCCTGTGAACAATTTCAACAGGAACTGCCAGTTTTGAAACTGTCAATATTTCCTCACATTTATTTGTTTGCTACTTTGGGGAATTGTGGGAAATTGGGAGAAAAAAAAGATGACCTTTTATGTGGGTAATACACCCTACCTTCTTTAATCAAGATATCATAAAAGAATACACAGTGATGTCCATTCAGATTCATTTATTCTCCCGATCTCCTGATAGAGCGATTCAGGTGCGATAAAGTTGTGGGGTCGGGTTCTGTTCTCTTTGCACTCCCTCACGGTGAGCTGGTTCCCACACAATGAGTTGAATCCAGTTCTAAGAAACCATTCTTACTTTCTTCCTCTCCTCCATCAACTTCCTCAGTCTGGGGATGAGAGATAGCATAATTCTGAGCAATCAAGGCTCCTCTTGAAATCCCATTTCAGCAGAATACTGGCTGGGTTCCTGGGCCAAAGCGGAACACCTGCCAGCCTGGCTTATCCCGAGGTAACGTAAGACGCGCAGATGTCATCAGTCACTGTTTACTTAACAATCTCTTTCCACTATCCCGCGGTCTGGCCTTGTCTCTTCCATTTCTGCCTCCACCTCTCACACAACTACAAAAAAGCCCTTGATTTTCTTTTTTTAAAAACAAGCCTGTTTTCAAAGCTCGGAAGAGACTGAGAGAAGGGCGGGCCACTTGAGAAAATGCATTTTGTATTTCACTTCATTTGATCCCCACCGTTTCTGTGTTTTGTCTAAGAACACTACAAGATGAAACACTTTTACCCAGACTTGAGATTTATCTTTTCTTTCTTTCTTTCTTTCTTTCTTTTTTTTTTTTTTAGAGGAACAACTTGAGCACCACCTTACCCTTTGTTCAATGACTGTGTGGCAGGAAAGCTGGGCCAAGCAGTGTTTTCCTAAAGTGTGGGCCACATGCTTTTATGATGCTGACTTATTGTTCTATCATCACCATCTTGTTTAAGAATTTCCATTCAAAAATGTCTCTAGATACAGAATTCTGTTAATACTGTGGGAGTGGGTGGATGTATCTATGGGCCAAGTATCATATAATAGAAAAAATTCAGAACTCAAATACACAGACCTAATCACTAACTTAATGACCTTAACAGTTTGTTTTTCATTTTTCAATGAAAGCCATTTGTAACATTCTTTGAATCCAATTTTAATCTGTGGCCCAGTGTCCCATATAGGCTCATGTTTTTATTTATCCATTCATTTAGTTACTCAATATGCATTTATTGAACACATAGTATATGCCAGTAAGGGATTTTGCTTTATTTAAATTATATTTCTTTATATTAAAATTATAAGAAAATACTATCTTAACCCTTCAATAACTCCCAATCCAGCAAAGAGAAATTAAGGTTAATCAATATCTGATATACGATTTGATATGGTAAGAATAAGTATTAAGAACTATAGGTTTATATGTTGGTTTATAATTATATGTTTATAAATTAGGAATTCTAGACAGGACAGATGAAAATATGTATCTCAAAGTTGGTTTCCTCTTCCTCAGCTATAGTATCAGTTTTTCTCTATAGGTCTTCACTGAGGCATAATTGCATAGATAAGTTTTCTTTAGGATTTCTCCACTTATTTCTAGCTTTCTCTCTAGTTATTATGCTTCCATACTTTCTGTAATCTCTCAATCTGGGGAAACCGAGCTGATTAAGTTCTGTACACCAACACACAAGTGAATTCCTGTGTCACTCTTTCCATAGGTTTTGTTAAATAGAAGGCTGATTGAAGTCAGGCGTTGCTTTAATTGAAGCAATGATTGACTATCTTTGGTGACAAAACACTAGAAACCATATCTTTGTGGAAGAAAGAACTTAAGTGGGAGAGACAAAGCCAATTCATCAGAAACTAAATTTATTCAGTCTAGCTTCTCAATTGCAGGGTGCATGTTGTTTAGATCTGTGACTCAAAACACAGGAAATTGTTGCTTTGGGTTGTTTAGTTGGTGAGTGGAAGAGAGGGCAGTTATGAGACACAGCATGACAGGTTCCCAATTAGGAAAAACATAAATATAAACTTCATCCCTAAAGTCATGGTTTATATACATTGCCTTCTAATAGTCACAACTACTTATAAGCATTGTGCACATATCATTTAGATTAGGTATTTTTTTTCAGAATAGGGAGATAGATAAAATCAAGGTAAATTCTGATATTCAGACTTGGTATATAAATTGTAAGATATTGCCACTGAAGTAGGTTTTGGTGGGAGACCTGAGACTGTGCCTCCTGCCCTTCAGGGTTTGACTGGGGTCAGGGGTGGGGCCAGCCGGGTCTGGTACTTGTGCAATTTCTAGGTGCATGCTGGTAGGCGGGGACTTGACTCTAGGTCAGGGGTAGGGGGGTGGGGAGGGTGGTGGTGGTGCGGGACGGTGGGGGGCCATTCCCTGACAGGAAGGAGATTTTCATATACATTTAATAATTTCCTTCTATTAATATTATAAAGAAAGGGCAAATAGCAATATTAAAATATTTCCTCTAATTGATTCCCTTTTATTATAATATGCACAAATTTTGTGCATCAGGTCACCAGTAGTCTTATAAAGACAACAACAATATATTTCATTCTCTTTATCTTGAAGTGGGTAAAATTCATATTGTTAAATAATAATAAAGGACCATACAATTTTGTCAGATGTTCTATTCTAGTTTTCAAGTATTTATCTTGACAGCCCAACATACATGATCTTTTTAATTCTCTCACAATGAGAATACCCCGATTCATTCTTAGGCTGCAATTTGATTTGCTTGTTGTTATCCTCCGGCATCGTTTCTTTGTCATCGCCCAGCTCATTGGCCTTCAGAAAATGCCTTCCAGGCCTGACCTTCCCACTGTTAGGACTCAACTGCTCATTTTATGTTCACAGTGTGATATCGAACACATTTAAAAGCAGTCCTGGACCAGGGGCCTTTGAACCCACAGAACAGATTACTCTAAGTGGGACCTGATGAAGGAGAATGAACTTGCCTGCTCTTCTGTTTCAGGTGAAAAGGATTTCTGAGGATCCTCCTTGCAAATGCCCAAACAAATTCTGCGTGGAGAGGCTCTCTCAAGGAAGATACCGAGTGGGAGAAAAGATCCTCTTCATTAGGGTAAAGTTTTACTTCTCACGTGATATCTTGTCCTTTATGAGACTTTGAGGACTTGAGTGGGGTTACAGGAAAGTATTTCCAGTATCTAAGCAAAGAGTTCCCCTCAGGTGGTTTTAGTTGGACTTGAAGATATAAGGAATGAACATTTAAAAATGTATCATACATAATTACTGCTGAGGGCTAAATAAATAGAACTATCTCTTTCTTTTTAAATATACCCAAACATGCACACCTAATACACCATAGAGATCAAATATTAATAGAACAAGGAATAGAAAAAACAACAAATTCTTTTTTGTTTTATACATCTAGTTTCAAAAGAACCACTCCCACCCCCTTCCCTACACACACACACACACACACACACACACACACACACACACACACACACATCCTCAATGGGAAATAGAAGTCAACATTCTGCCCTGATCTTTCATATCTCCACTTCAGGAATATCATCCTATTAGTCCTGGCAACTTTCAAATTATTTGAACATGGTTTTAAAAGAAATTCAGATTATGAACCAGGGTGAGGGGAATGAAAGCTCATTGCAATGGCCTGGCTAGATAGTGACTGCCATTTCTTCCTTAGTTTTCTGGGTGAATAAAGAAAGGTGGACCTATGCCAATGAATGATTTGGTGATCTCCATTTTACAATTGTCCTAATTAGAAATCTGATTAGGTCATAATTAGAGGCTCAATAAAATCACATTTCAGGCCTTGTGATCTGTTTTGGAAATAATCAAGAAAATAAGTCAAAATAAGACTTTTCTTAAGACTAAGAATTCATTCTTCTTCTGAGAAATAAGAAAATAGAAACTGTAGCCTAGAATTAATAAGTATAAATATTTTTCCACCATAGTTTTTAGTAATTATCTAAATAACAGCAGTTAGGAATCAAAGGAACTATAGTCTCTTTTCTTTTGAAAAAGTTACGAATTTCTTGCTTGTTACTTTATTTTGTAGAGCAGAATATTTGAATGCATATATCTAGTACCATCAAAGAATACTCTAAACAATACTCACAGTGATGGCCCAATATAAATTTTGCCTGTGCAATATTTTCTTAATTTCAACTTTTGACAAATTTATTTGTGTGACAGATTTTTTGAGGTTCTAATTCATGGTATTTGAAGAAAAGTTTTGATCATAATTAGCCTTCAGAATAAAGTCAGTCATTTTTAAATCTAATTTAGGTCAGTGTTTATTGGTGTGTGTTTTTAAAATAATTTTAGGTAAAAATTGATATTTTGGAATAGCAATGAAGGGGATAGAATAGGTTAGTATTAGAGTTTTGGTACAAATCTGGGAGAGTGGCCCTCCCTAGGATAAATAGTTGCCTCTATCAATGCTTATTGTTCTCTTGTATCTTATTATAGGGATAATATACAGGTTTATTTTAGCCATGCTGCCTGATTTCCCTTTAGTACATTAAAAATAGTGATTTAGTCATTCCAAAGATGTGTTTAAATTTTACTATGCCGACCTTTCTCGATTGATAATCACGCTCCTTGAGAATATTAGGTCCTTGAACTTGGAAGCAAAACAACACTTAACTCATGTAAAACAATTTTTCCTTTTATGATAGAAGTGTTGACAAATACATAATTAACAAATTAGATACTTTTTCTTCTGTTGTAACCTAATATCTGTAGGCAAATATATATATATATATATATATATATATATATATATATATATATATATATATATAGCTATTACATGTTTATTTGTGTCTGGTCTTTATATTTTGTCAGTTGTCAACAATTTTGGTATCTGTATTTAGGAATAACATAAATTTACATAGCATTTAATATTTAAGAAAATTTTTGGTGTGCCATTTTTCTTTTCAGAAAGTGGTTTTCTTTTAGTAAAACCTGTGCATGTGTTGTTTATAGAGGAATTGGGATTTGCTTGACTGAAAAAAATTGCATCAACTTCCCTAGTGATAATATTTGAATTAAATACCAGTGTGTTACAGCAGAACATACTGTGTACATTCAGCTTCATGCTTCTAGTGTTCCAGGTAAGCCTGCAATAAGGGAGTGGACTGTGACATGGTTTTCACTGACTGTACTATGACAGGTGTTTTAATCAATTATAGTAATTCACTTTTTCTCATTTTGCACTGTCCACATATAAAGTGTGCTTTTTTTTTTTTTTTACAACAGATTTCCCTTTAAAATTAATCTGTTATTTTTTATATCTTAATTATTATAAAGGAATATTTATATGACTGCTTAAACCAGAAAGTAAAACTATTTGTCAAAAAAAAGAAGTTAACTATGAATATATATTGAAATTCTTATCCTTGGCTTGCCAGGGGTCTATTCTCACCCACACTGAGGAAAGTGATTCTAAAAAGACTCCTCTGTTGTTTCTTGATTATCCCTCATGGCTTTTTACCTCCCAGTCACTAGAGTTTAGGAATTGAATTTTCACAGGCAAGCCATATGCACTGTTCATTGCCCATGTTCTCCTTGCTTCCTTCTCTTCACTGGACGCAGGAACTAATAGCATCTTAGTGATGAGTACAGGCTTTGGCTAGTACTTTTGATTTGTGGCAGGAACTATATTGAATTGATTGCTATTCTGCACTAACGCACTACAAGGAACTGGCAGTTATTATTAAAAAACAACACCCCAAACCCTCAGAGGAATTGGTTTTCAAATGATCATATGGTTGTTGCTGCTCTTTTCTTCATTTTTGGCTTCAGGAGTAAGTGGGCTGTAGTCAAATTCTCACCACACTAGTAAATGACCACATCACAGTGGCTGCACTGAGTGCTGCATTTTCTAAACTTACGTTTTTCACACTGGCGTATTTTAAGTTTTTTCATATCTTTTTTGAGGCTGATAAATATGGTCATATTTACTACACAAGACATCATAAGTAGGTGCATTAGTGCATTTTATTATACAAAATACACATACAATGAAATCAATATGGTGTCTTAGCTTTTATTCCCTAGTTTTCTGTCAGTCCTGGTCTTCATATGGCCATAATGATCCTGGCCATGCAAAGAACAATCCGGTCATCTAAGGCTGTTGTTAAGACTGCTGACTTAGCTCTTACATAAAGATAATGCAGTTATCAAGACAGTGACTCAGAAAAAATCTCTTAGAATTAGTAGATACAAAATTATCTAAATAAGACTTCATATAACACATTTACTCTAGATTTAATGATTTCATTCCTAACAAAATTCCAAGGTTTGTTGACAATACCTAATCACTTTACTTAGATACGGTTTTATGATAATTATGTATATGAACACATTTTCTCTTTATTCATTAAAACAGATACACTAACAGCAAATAAGAATGAAAAATATAAGAATATCAGCAGATTACAGAAATAGAGCCCAGAAGACATTTTTCTGCAGAGGATAACCTTGTTAAACATATGTCTTATCTGTGGGTTTCTAGGAAGAGTTGTATTCATGGATCCTTCACCTACATGGCTACCTAGTGTGCTCTTGTCTAGATGAAACCATATGCTTATGTAGGCATGTTTGCTCATATGCCTATGTCTTAGTTTCAAGGGGAGGAATTGATCTATATCAAATAAAAAGAATCCAATAGTATACGGGAAATCCTCTGAGGTTTTTGACTGTCCCTTTTAGACATTCATGCTAATAATCCCCTGTCAAAGTGGGAATTCTCTTGTTTCTAGCTTATAGAAAATAATTTTCAAAACTGTATTTTTGCTCTATATCTTCTAATGAGCAACACCGTTTTTGACCAATCTGATAGACAAACAAGATAAATGCAGCCAATTTGCATTTGTAGTGCAGATACACATTCACTTTTCTCTGAGATATAAATATTTCAGTTTCTTTTCAATGACTTTGGAATTTGGACAGTGATGCCTAAACCTCCTTGATTACTGAGGTAACAGAGGTTGGGATAGTACCTTTTAGCTCTGTTATAAATCTTTAAAATGTAAACAGAAGGGTCTCAGGCCCAGTTGGTATTATTTGAGGAGAAGAGAAGTAAGAATTTTACTTTGTTTATTTGTTCATTCAGTCAGTTGGTGTCCAGTCTTTCAAGCAGTCAGTTGGCAATATGAATGTGTATAAGCTTGTGGGGAAGGTTTCCACATGCCATAAAAAGGCCTGTGCTATTTTATTTGTCAGCCTCAATTCCATGGTGACAATATTCCGTGTAAATAGTCCAGCAATAGTTTTTAAAAGTGATCCCAAGAGAAGCAGCATCAGCATTATCTGGGAACTCGTTGGAAGTGCAGGTTCTTGGCGTCACCCTGATTCATTAAATCAGAAGCTCCCTGAGGGTACGGCTCAGCCACCTGTGTTTTAACAAGCCCTGCAGGTGATTATGAAGTGTGCTGAAGTTTGAAACAATCTAAAAGTAAACAACAACTATAAGAAGGAAGAAACTTGTCATACAACACTACAACTAGAGATCATTGCATATGCAGTCATGGAAGACTACAACCGCTCAGGTACTAGATAATGACTTCTAGGTAACACAGTGTGGGGGAAACACAGACTTTGAAATTGTAGTTACATATTGAAAATGCCACTTTGTGGAAAGGATGTATAGTTAGGATTAAATCTAGAAGGGAATAGAAATAATTGAAAATCGTTTTTAATTGTTGGGAACATAAAATTAGGAGTATTTGCTTCTGATGATGACATTAACAACATGAACTCTTCAGAAGAAGAGAAGCCAATGACCTGATACAGTTGCAGATCTGAGAGTAAATAAAAGGACTTTTAGAAGGGGTCATATTAATGAGCTGACTGTTCACTTTTCTGGTCCTCTGGCCCAGGGTAGGGAAGTTCATGGAGTCATGTAGACCAGGGAGGACTAGGCGTTTTTGTTGTGGAACTATAGCGTATGTTCCCTTGGCTGATGCTTTTACCTTTTATCTTTCTTTACTATTTTATCTCTCCATTTCAGAAACTCCCCCCAGTTGTACTAGAAAACATGCCAACATCTATAAATTGTCCCTTCTCTCTGCAGGCCCCATAATT